CAACCAAGCAGGCTGGGGAGGCTGGGGATGTGGCTCAAGCGGTAGCGCGCTCGCCTGGCATGCGTGCAACCCGGGTTCGATCCTCTCAGCACCACATACAAAGATGTTGTGTCAGCCGAAAAACTAAAAAATAAATATTAAAAAAAATGGCTTGGGATGTGGCTCAGCAATTAAGCACCCCTCGGTTCAACCCCTGGCACACACACACAAAAAAAAATTATTATAAGAGTGACCAACCTCCCCCCCAAAAATGTTAACAATTACTAAATGTTAATATGTGACCCTCTGGTGTAACACTGGAACGTGGAACTACTGTATTCATGTTATTAAATGTTAACTATCAAATTTTAAAATAATTTTATGTCAAAAACCACTTGCGTTATCTTTTACAGAAATCTCTCAAAAAATTCACCCTATGAAACTGCACTTTGGATTGGAACTATCAGTTTGTTATTTCTATTAATAAAATCCTGCCATGTGGTCATTTCTTAAACTCTATCAAACCTTCATAACTGGCACTATTTTTCACAGAAATCTCTCTGAACAAAATATGTGCCAGGAACAAGAAGCATTTTAAAGTGGTTTGGTGTTACTGGTTCATGTACATAGTGGTCACTAGGGGGCGCTACTACACCGCGACTTCATCACATAAAAGCGTGTGAGCTGGGAAACTGCTGACTGGGAGCCTGATACCACCAAGACTACAAAGGACATGGAAACCCTCTGGCCCTTCACAGGAAACCAAATGAAGGGGTCACCAACTGGGAAGAGGGGAGGAGAATGGGGAAGGCTAGATTTCTTCCTTGTCCCTTTTATAGAAATGCCCCTTTAAAAATACATCTGGTGGCTATGCATAGTGTCACACGGTGCCAGCAGCTCTGGAGGCTGAGACAGGAGGATAGCAAGTTCAAACCCAGCCTCAGCAATTTATCGAGGTACTTAGATATATATATATGTATATATATATCTCGGATGGGCTGGGGTTGTAGCTCAGTGGTAGAGCACTTACCTGGCATGCATGACGCACTGGGTTTGATCCTCATCACCACATAAAAATAAATAAAATAAAGGTATTGTGATATTGTGTCCATATACAAATTTTTAAAAAAATATGTTTAAATGCATCTGATGGCCTAGCCCAGTGGTGCATACCTGTAATCCCACCAAAAGGGGAGAAGGCTAAGGCACGAGGATCCCAAGTTCAAAGCCAGTCTCAGCAATTTACCAAGGCCCTACGCACTTAGCAAAACCCTGTCTCAAAAAGTTTTAAAAGGGCTGGGGTCATGGCTCAGTGGTAGAGCATTTGTCTAGCAAGCATAAGGAACTGGGTTCAATTCCCAGCACCACATAAAAAATGAACAAGCAAAATAAAGGTACTATGTCCACCTACAACTAAAATATTATTTTTAAAAATGC